GCCCGGCTGAACCTGCACATCCTGACTCCCCCATCTTCCTGACGGCCAAACTGCAAGGCCAACCCATGTCCTGAACTTGGGCACCAGTTTTGAGAAGGTCCCAGAGTCCTCTGTGACTCCTCCACCCCCAGCCCACCCCTCTATGCTGGCTGCAGGTCCTGACAGACCAACACGTACCCTGAATCCACCCAGACACTCACCAGTGGTTCCAGCTCCTTGGTGTCTATGAGATTGAACTCTTTCACAAAGTAGTAAAAGTGCTTGTAGCAGGTGTTCACATGGGCTTCCGAGCCCATCTGGGTGATCCGGTCAAAGTGGTGGATGTAGACGTGGACAAAGACCCGGAAGAGCCTGGAGAGAATCTTCTTCACCACTGGGAGGAAGTTTTTGGGGAAGGGAGTACCTGGGAGGGAAGAGACAACCATGAGAAACTTCCAGTGAAGTTCAAACTGGATCCTGGGGACTAAAATAAATTGATAAAATGGACAGATTGAGATAAAAGGGCTTCTGTCCCTGGGCATTTCCAGTTCCCCTCTCCTTTCTCCTTTCCATGTGGATCAGGTTTCCTAAGTGACAAGGGTGCCACACGCCATCGATTGCTGCTCATGAGTGAAAACAAGGGACCAGCCTGGGCTGTTCCCAGCAGCTGTGTCAGTGTGACAGAGATTTCTTCTGCTCCCATTTGGCATGTTTATAGAAACAGCACAGAAAACTCGATACGACCAAGCAACTTCCCACCAGAAAGAGCCGGTGCCGTTAACTCCCCACAGTTATCTCTTATTTTGCCATGTCTGTAGCTCTTTGGTTAAAAATTCAAGACATTAAGGTCCTTTTTAAAGGCATCAGTTCTTTGGGATTTGTTTAGCCAGGGCCCTGCAGCAGAGTGATCTGGCCAACCAGCCTTCTCAGTAGAATTAAAGTTCACACAGGTCGTTTCTGGAGGAACGAGGATCAGTTAAACCCTTCCAGTGCTCTGGAAGAACTGCAGCAGTTCAGTTCAGTCAGCATTAAGGGTGAGGAATCTGGTAAAAGTTGAGCTGAAAACAGTAACAATAAATTAAAAAAACCCCTACAACCCTCCTGTGTCAGAAACTTGCCTCCCCGAACAGAACAAACACTCTGCTGACATCCCCCAGAGAGTTTTGCAGAAGAGCTCTCACTAAAGGCAATCCAGTGGCTGTTTGGGTGACAGGAGGAAGGGGTGGGGAGGATCTCAGAGTTTCAGCTGACTGCAGAACTGGCTGTTGAAGGTCCTGCTCCTGCTCTGCCTGCACACACCAGGTTGAAGCAGCGTTTTGGTACAAATCGAGGAGCCCCCATGGATGCTCCCAAATAGAGGTGTCAGAGGTGTCCCAAATAGAGGCCAAGTGTGTCCCATCAGAGCTCTGACAGGATAAAAGCCAGGGCAGGAGGGAGGAAGCTCTGCTGCCTCTTGTCTTTTGCATCCCAGAAGATGGGAGCTCCGAATGGGATCTAATCCTATTTACCTAATACTCTAAATACTGAATTCTCACATCATATTCACAGAATCCCAGCCTGGTTTGGGTTGGAAGGGAACTTAAAGCTCATCCAGTTCCAACCCCCCTGCCATCAGCAGGGACACCTTCCACTAGACCACGTTGCTCAAAGCCTCATCCAACCTGGCCGAGAACACTTCCAGGGAGGAGCAGCCACAGCTTCTCTGGCCAACCTGGGACACTGTCTCACCACCCTCACAGCCAACAATTTCTTCCTCACATCTCATCTCCATCTCCCCTCTGCCACTTTCAAGCCATCACCCCTTGTTCTGTGACTCCCTTCAACACAAAATAAACACGTTTGTCCCGCAGCCAGCACAGGAAGCTGCGTTTGGATATGCAGATTTAGGTGTCGTAGGCCAATTTATCATTTCCATCACCCTGGCAATAGATAAAACACCGCCCCTCCCTCCGTGCACATGTCAGCATCCCACCCAGCTGCAGCAAACAGCCGAGTGCACGCCAGGAAGCACTGAGCTAGAAAGGGCAGAGTCAGCTAACGCCAGCCTGTAATAACAAAGAGGCTAATTATGGAAACGTGGCCACCATCACCAGGCTGAGGCAGAGCACGCGCGTGGAACCCAAGCTAACAATCAGCTCTACAAGAGGTGTCCCTCAGGAGACCACGTCCAGCATGAACTGCTCAAGAGTCACGGCAGAGATTGACTTTTCTAACAGCAGCCTCTTGTTTTTGCTGCCTCGGCTCAGCTTGGCTTTCCCTGAGGTGATAGCTCTGTGAGGGTGCCGGAGCCCTGGGACAGGCTGCCCAGAGAGGGGGTGGAGTCTCCCTCTCT